CTGTCTATTCATTTTATTGTCCGAATCGACACAGTCCGCACATATTATTTCAAGAAAATAATGTTTTATACTTATTATTAATTTAAAGTAACTCCAGATTGGCTATTTCTACTTTTTCACAGAAAATAATTGCATAAATGATGTGTCATGAAATTTTTGCGCAATAAACTGCGACCACAAAAGATTGCTTAAAATAAACGATTAAAACGTATATCTATCACCGCCGACTATTATTTACATCGCTATTGTGCATTTATTAAAACTGTAATGTTAAACTATGTCAAAAACACCTATAGATAAACTAAACTTATTGAATTCATTTATTTACTATTAATTCTTGAAGTAGTTCAATTTTTCACATTAGAAATTTACTTTGTAAGAAATTTGTGAAAAGTTCACTAATGTGCAAACAATCAAATAGTGACTCAAGCCATACCGGTAGATAACATGACAGATAACAAACCGCATGAATTTCGTATCGATTCACTGTTAAATGTCTGTCTGAATTTGAACAGCGTTTATTTTTGCCAACTTTTCACGAATCATAAACTTTATCCTTTGTATTTTTAATAAGAAACGAGTGAAATTGACATCGCATTGGATTTATACATAAAGTGTCATATGTCTCCCTTAAATAAATGTCTCCCTTTTCTTAAATAAAGATTTATATATAATATATTTTTTATATATAAAACATATATTTATATTAGCATAATTTAAAATCGAGTCGGACAACTTTGAATCGCAAGTCTGACAGCTGCGCAGCCATTAGTATGTAAAATGAAAATGTGATGTGGAAATTGGAAGATAAGCGTAATCTATGTAACGATAAATTAAACGATAGATAAAAAGTTTCAGACTGTTTGGAATAATAAAATGCAAGAATACGCGTGTGGGTGCAAAAGAGACACAGAGTATTCGCGTCCATTCAATGTGGAATCAAGAGTCGCGTAGGAAACTGAACGGTCGAGTCGCGGTTGAGTCGATTGGAAAACTCTCGGAATCGGTCGGAAACTAGGTCTGCGCTACTTTGGGAATGCACGCTTTGGTGAATAGACATTTGCGGACATTCGCGCCTTAATTGATTATCTCGACGAGCGAGAGTCCCGAGAGACGGAAGATATGCCGTCGCCGTCGCCGTCGCCGTCGCCGTCGCCATCGCCATCGCGTAAACGTGCCGAGCAACGATGTCCGAGGCAATTACGCGATTCTCGTAAAGCACGGCCGCTCGTATTACACACTGAGGTGAGTAGCCCGTGTTTTTCCCCTCTCGGCATCGCGTGGAAAGGCGCCTAGTACCACGTCCACCACCGTCTTCACTCGGCGATGGCCGATATAAGGCGCAGGTCCTAGCCGCGATTGATGAGCTGTAGAGAGCCAGGAGAGCCATTACTTGCCAGGAACGAACAGGTTTTACATTTAATAACGCGAAACGATTATCTGCCGATCGGCTGAGTTAATTCGATCGGAAAGGCATAACCTGCTGCCGGACAGATCTCGCGGAGGAAAATATATTACCGCCGCTATTATTAGTACCACGCCTCGACGAGAGGTAGACGAGATCGGTCAAGTTGCGCTCGCGCCGCGTCTTTTGCGTCATTTCTTTCCGTCATCACCGGCAACCTCGAATTCCTCGATTTCCGTCGCGTGGGAGAAGGGGGCAGACGGGAATTATAATCAAACACTCAAGTTCATTTCTAAACTTTCAAGTATTGTGTGCGTTAGAGAATTTCCTTACGCGTTTATCAAAAGTGACATTTCTGAGAAACGCAAAAGATGTTGAGAGAACTATTCGTACTACGGAATTCGTACTTGGGCCAATTAAACTTCCTTTATGTGTATTTTGTGTGTGTGTGTGTGTGTGTGTGTGTGTGTGTGTGTGTGTGTTTTATATATACGATAATGGATTTAAGTTTACGATTTCAACATTATAAGATTTCTTTCTATACGGAATAATGTCTGTAATAATGTAATATAATAATATGTTTATTTTCTTTAGATTTTTATGTTTCATAGAGAGAATATATAACTCGTACACATATCGTATATATCGTATGTGGAAACTGTTAGAGTTGTAATTACATTTTTATTGAGCAAAACAACTTTAAATTGACCGATAAATCCGCATAAAAAAAGCGAATGGATAGATTTTCTCTGTCAGCTGTTATAATCTATATACATATGAATAATGTCAAATTTAGTTTAATTCGCAATCAATGCTTGCTTCTTTTGGCATAAAATTTCTCAAAAATTTCTCGCAGAGACATTATTACTTTCCATCGTTTCCGGTTATATACTTCACGCTTTCTAGCGACGGTAATTATTATTCATTGCAAATAGGGACCTATATACAAGATAAAATTTGCCTAATCTAAAGGATACAAATATTTATACATGATTGTGAACATGTGTGTACGTGTGCGTAAAACCACAAGAATTTCAATCGAGTTTTTAATATAAATTTCAAATTATAAATTGAAGTCTTAAGATTGACTTTAGATTTTTGGATAATGTTTCGATCATTTTTCTTTAAATACGCATATTTAAACTTTCTCATACATCGAAAGCAACATATATCTTCAATAAATCTCGAGCTATATATTATGAAAGGGTTGTATGACGATTACAAAATTAGAATGTAGAATTAAAAGTTATATAGTCTATAATTGAATGCAATCCAAGATTCTAAGAAGTTTCCAAACCTGCTCAACCTGCAAACCTGTTGCAAACAATTGATAACAATCTCAACATATCGGTTATATTTTACAATATTTGTTGTTGGATTGATTTAATGTAATATTGGAGTGAATACATTTCTAAAGTGATATAGACGGCAAATACATGTATCGGTCGCAAAGTTGAATTATGTATCATTGTATTACATGTGTTAACAAGAACGTAGGCGGAGCAAGTATAAGGTTTCATAAACATTTGAAATGTTATCTGTCGCTGTATGACCGGTTATCACTCTTGGTATTTGAGTATATCTTGTTCAATGATCGTGGTCTCGAATGCCGAGTAAGCCGAGAATCAGTTGGAATAAAGTTCACGAAAATTGTATAAATCTAGCCTCAGAAAGATTTCAGGTGGTTTGCCGCGCCTTTTGCGTAGGATCAAAACGAAGGAAATACTTTCTCCGGACACGAATCTCCGACAATGTGTACAAAATATTTTCAACCGTTCGATAACACGCGGCGCGCAAGGTCGAAAGTGACTCCGTGACACCGTGACATCTAAGAAGCGAGCGACGAAAGGGGCGAGCGACCGGCGTTTCTCTCGTAATTTTTGAGGAACCGCGTGTGAACGGGATACGCGCCATGACGGTGATCGCACACGTTGGCAGGTGCGAAACAGATGGCCCGATAATACGGCGACCAAGCACCTTGCGCGTTGCGTCGTCGCTTCGCGAGCCCGGACATTAACGTTGAAAAGGCACATCACGTCAATCAAAGAGGCAAGATCCGTTCCACTCCTCACGTTCCACGCTTCGTTCGATGACCGCGATATTACTTTTCGAGATTTTTTACTTTGAAACGTCTGGATTTTTGCGAGTGATTCATTGCCCTCGTTAGAGCGAAGATAAGAATGTTAAGATTATCCCGACGTTTTTCTGCATTTAGAGACAGGTTTCGCCAAGTTGTCCTTTAAATCTTAAATTAAGTAATCGTTATTCAAATTGATCTCCTTGGCTCGGCAATGATCAAGTGTAAACTCCGCCAGTTTTTGGACTAGAGAAAAGTCGATCGACGAATCGAGGATGTCTTGCGGGATATCACTTTTAGTTTACTAACCTTAATGAAGCAATCGTTGAAGGACAAGTTGTGCCTCAAGGAGTTCTGCCATCGTCGCGTGTCCTTTCTGTAATACGGGAAGCGGTCGGCGATAAACTTGTAAATCTCGGCGAGTGGCAGCATTTTGTCCCTCGATGACCATATCGCCATCGCCGTCAGCGATATGTAGGAGTAGGGTGGTTTCTGATCACCATAGGTATCGCGCGAGGGCCGCGGCATCATCGACAAGCGGCGGCGAGATCAACGATACCGAAGAGCAGTCTCTCTCTGTCTCGCTCTTTTCTCTCGAACACAAACCTCGAAGCTCCTACGTGTGGCTCGACACTTTCCACGACGTTCGCCGATAATCGCGCGCCGGCATCCTTCGAATCCTCGCGAATCGGCAGGAACACGAGGTAGGCTGCTCTCGCTGCTCGCAAGGGGAAACGGAAATTTCCATCGGACCCAACCACGGGGCCCCGCGGCCGGCCGAGGCGAGGAAAGTTCGCGCCCCTGCGTCCCACGCTGTGTGTCACAAGAGTATCACAATCCGGACGATTCCCAACACTAACCCTCGCCGCGGTTCCGAGTTCCGACGAGCTCGCTCTCTGATCGAGACCCCCCGAGCACGCCCAGACGCACACCAAGTACCCGCGATCGCGTCTCCGCGGATACTGCGGCAGATCTATACCCACACCCCCGCAACGGGCTTCCCCTACTCGCGTACCCGCGGCTTCGCCGTGTCTCGGATTGGAGCCCGTCGTGTCTGGCGTTCTCGACCGGTCTCGCTCGCGCTACCGACAACAACCTCCGTCCAATGGCGCGATGGCTCTCCTCCCCCCCTCTGCCCCACCTGCCGGGAGTTGCCGCGCGACATCGAAAGGGCGTCGTCCGTCTGTCGGAGCTGGATTCCGAAGGGCGGAGCTTTCTCTCGAGTACCGCTTCGAGTCACCTCCCTCGAACGAACGGGAGCGGCTGAATGTCGGCCAATCCGATCGAGTATCGCAACCGCCCCTCGCGCGTCCACTGATACAGTGCGCCACCGAACGCCACTGGGGGGTACGTTACCACTGTGGAGGACGAGGAGAGAGAGCATTCTGTCTTTCGCAACGCGCGGATCGATCCGCGGCGTGCTTTCGTTCCGAGGATTGAAACCAGGGTAATTTTGTCGAGTTTAATCCTCGAACATTTGATAACCATGCGGGCAGCCGGTGGGTATATCTTTCTTCATCTTCTTTCGATCAAATTTCTTCATTTTCATTTCATTTTATTATTTCTAAGCATACGCGATTGTTGAAAACAAGAAAATATTTCAAATATAAATAAATCATCTATCTATTTGTATAATTTCTTAACAATCTTAGAGCGTTAACAATTTCCAGTAATTTCAAATTTCAATTTCTCGTAAAGATTTTTACGTTTATTTTATAACTTTTTAAAGTGACAATATTGTTGTAACGATAATGAGACGTCATCGTTGTGAAAATATAAATGTTGTTTAAAGTTCCAAAATAGATTTTTTTAGACATCAACTCATAAAGATTAGACTTGGATTTATTTCCGATGGAAATATGGATTACGAACTTTCGAAAATATCTCGATTATCAAATCTATTTTCATTGATCGTGAATAAACGTGTAGTGAGCAAATGTAAATTATCGAGCATTATCGCGAGATTTCAATATTCAGTTTTGATTAGGGAAATCGTATAGCACTTTTATTCTGTTTTCGCTCAATCACGTGAGTGGAACTATAAATTCTACATGTGTGCTGACCCGAGTTGAGTACTATTAGCGAAATTGTACTGTTTATCGAGAGAGAACTCAGAATCGATCTTTTTCTAGTTAGCAAGATCCAACCTAATCTCTCTAGATCGGTGACCGCGCCAACCCTATAGGTAGAGGAGAAAGGGAAGAGGGAGAAGATAAACCAATCGGAGCGAAGCACTTTCCTCGCTCGGAGTTTGCAGACGAGAGGCGTGTCGCTACGCCTCGTGCCTTGCCGACAAAATGGCAATTCTCGTTGCGCGTAATGTACACTAATGCTTCAACTAAATGTGTTTTCTGGAAACGTCTTCGAAAGGAATACATCGCAACTGCCCGAGTAGAAATTGAATCAGGGTGTTACAAGGCTCTTATCTCGTAATCCTTAATGCAAAATCAAGTCCTGGGGAACCTTGATAGGGGCCTTACAAAAAATGTAACGCAATTTTCCGTTAAGAACCTGATAAGGAACAAAATAATCAGGGGGTCGATCATGTAACTTTTCTCCTAGGACGGAATGAAAAGTGAAAAGTTTTACGTGAACTTACGATCATGTACGATTTTGCGGGATCATGTAATTCTCTCAAACGTGAAATTTTTCATGTGAACTTTTTCGTCATGTACTTTGGTGACGGAAAGGCGGAAATCTAGGGAATTAATAAATATGCTTCGGAATTAGAGAAGATTAAGGCTGCGTTAGGATTAAGTGTACGTAGTACATATACAATTGATTATTAAAAGATACATATAATACTGTATCAATAAAATAATTTTCATTAGCTATAAAACCTATGAAATTATGTTTCATGATTTCACTTTTCACGCATCCAAGCTATATACATAATCGCTGTACGTGAAAAGTTTCACGTGAAATGTCAAAGGTGAAAAATGAAAAGTAAAAAGTGAAAAATGAAAAGTGAAAAATTTCACGTAAAGTTACATGATTGATGGTCCTTATCAGATTTCTAGTGGAAATGCCTGATATTGCACTTATGATAATCTTATTATAATTTTAATATTATTTAATTTATACTTTTAATATTTATTGTATTCTTATTTATTATTATTTATTTTTTATTTATTATTTATCATATTACTTATTGTGTTATTTATTATATTATATGTAGGCTTTCACAGAAATAAAATTATTTTATTAACTATTAATCTAATAACTTTTTTACATTGAATAAAATTAATTAAACATTTATTTAACATTATACAAGAATTTTTATATACAATGAGATACGATATTAAATAAGAAATTTAACTTAAATTTAAAGAGAATAATATATATATAAAACAATTAAAAATTTTTAACAATTAAATATTTTAATATTTTAATTTAAACAATTAAACATTTTAACAATAACATTTTTACATTTTTTAACGATTTAACATTTTTAATAATTTAACACTTTAAACAATTAATGTAAGAGCCGAGTAAGAGTTTCAGACAAACAACAATTCAACATTTTTTTATTCCTTCGGCTTTCGTTCATTTCTTTTTCCGTCCCAATCCTTGGCATTATTTATTACACTACCTAGTACTTGAAAAAATTTATCTTCTTTAACTGGAAATAAATTATTATAAGCCTTATATTCGGTTATAATAGCATCTGAAATATATTTATATATTGCTATAGAAATTAAAGAAAATACTTATTTGTAATATAAAGAATATGTAAAAAAAAATTTGTAAATAATAATAAATTTCTTTAAAAATAGAATTAGTTTTTTGAAAGATATATTGATTTTATTAAAAATTATTAGTTTAAATAATAAATTATATATAGTATATATAAATTATATATAGTATATAAATAAATAAGTCAATATAAATCTACCTTTCATGCATTCACCAAATGTAGTATCTTTAATAACTTTTTTGCTGCATAACTTATAACAACATCACGAGACATAAACTTTTTTAAAATTTTGGTTATAGGTTTTATTATTGGTTGAGATGGATCTATTGAACTTCACATATAATTTGTCTGTAATGAAAAGAAATTAACATAGAATAAATTTAAATTTTTATTTGTAGATTAAATTTAAAAGGTAATTATGTATTTATTTATGTGGAAACTTTTAATTCGGGTGGAATTTTCGAATAGAATCTACTGCCATATCGCGTAATAATATTATATATCATATTTTTACTTACATCTTCGCGAAGAAATGTATTAGTTTTTAATTCAACATCAAAAATCTCAAGAGTCTAATATTTTAAAAGGAAACGATTCGATTTCTTGATTCTTTAAAAATTCGTGTAATTTGTTAAACTCTGAGAATCAATGTATTTGCGTGCGAAAGAGTCATCTCATTTTGTTTTATTTTAATTTCCATTACATGTCTATGCAATTTGTGTCTTGCTATTTGTGTTGACAAGTTTCTGTCAAGCATTTTAATATTAATTCTTGCAGAGACAGTTCTACAAAATAATTTATTTATTACTATAAATAGTAATTACTATTTATTACTATAAATTTATTATTTATCATACTTATTTATCATACTTATTTATTGATTTATTTATATTTATTTATCTATTTATTTATTTATCTATTTATTTATTTATTATTATTTATTTATTACTATACTGTATTTTTAAATTTAATTTATATTTCTTACCGTTTGTTTCGTTAACGTTGATAAAATTATTTTCGAAATTTGTAATTTCTATATTTTCTGCATTATTTTTATTAATGTCTTTTTAGAATGAAAAGTATCATTTACAGTAGTATCGTTATTTCATCACTGATTAGTAACTAATTCTCTTTTTCAATATCAGTTTTTCTTTTTTTATATGAAATATCGTTTTCAGACTGAATGGATTCATTAGATTTAGCATTTTTATCATTAGATATTTTCCATTATTGTCATTTTCATCAAAATACATTTCACTAGAATTACTTACTTATTTATTCCAAAAGATGTTTTCAGAGTTTGAATAAGATTCTTCATTTTCATTGATAGGTAAGATATTATCACATTCTTCATGAATTTCATAGTTTATATCGCGTATATTTGAATCAATTCTTGAAGACTTATGACTTATATTCGCATTGTCGACTTTCTTTAAATTATTTGTATTTGATTGAAATTTACGCCGTTTACGAAAACATGTTGCATGTGCATTTATGTTAATAAACATCTTCGTTTCTTAACAATGTCACTCATTATAAAGATATTAATTTACTATATATAAAATATTGCGTTACCATAAGCGTGATAATTCTCTCTCTGATGAAATTAAAAATTAATTGTATTATATATGGGAAAAACAATGTGGGAAGTATATGGGAAAATTATGTGGAAAGTATATGGAAAAAACTATGTGGGGCGTATATGGGAAAAACTATGTGGGAAATATATGGGAAAAACTATGTGGACCCTTGATGGGAAAAATTATGTGGGAAATATATGGGAAAAACTATGTAGGAAGAGCTATGTGGGAACTACATGGGATAAACTATGTGGGAACTAGATGGGAAAAACTATATGGGATGTATATGGGAAAATGATATGGCACTAGATGGGAAAAACTATGTGGGAAGAAGATGGGAAAAACTATATGGGAACAAGATGGGAAAAACTATATGGGAACTAGATGGGATAAACTATGTGGGCGTTCGATTGAAAAAACTAGGTGGGAAGTATATGGGAAAACTAGATGGAGGCTATATGGGAAAAGCTATGTGAGAAATAGATGGAAAAAGCTAGATGGGGCGATATGGGAAAACTAGATGGGGCAATATAGGAAAAACTATGTAAAAACTAGATGCGAAAATCATTTGATGACTATGTGGGAAAAACTATGTAGCAGCTATATGAGAATAACTAGATGGGGACAATATAGGAAAAACTGGCTGAGATGACATTTTTCGCAAAATAATTAATTTTCACGACTGCTCCGTGGTCGGGCTTTGCCGTCACGCACATCCTCCCTTCTTATTTGGGAAAAATTATGTGGGGGCTAGATGGGAAAAACTAGAATGGGGACTGGACTCTTTCCCATCTAGCACATAATTAATCCCCCTCACATAATTTTTACCAAATAAGTCACATAGTTTTTTCCCATCTAGTTCCCACATCGTTTTCCCATCTTCTTCTCACATAGTTTTTCCCATCTAGTTCCTATATAGTTTTTCCCATCTTCTTCCCACATAGTTTTTCCCATCT